CACACACACACACACACACACACACACACACACTTTGTTTTTTTAAAGGAAGAAAAAGAAACCAACGAAAGAGAATGCATGCTGTGACTTTAAAAATGAAAGAATCGAACAGCTGTGGGTAATAAATCGATTAATTAGAGTGGATAAAATGAAGGTGAAGGGTGCAGAGCACTCTTTAATTTGAAGATATATGACCTTGTAAGATGCTGCACTTCATTTGCTATTAGATCACACTTCAGAAGGGGTTTTATTAAAATCTATTCCAGGGTGAGCTGAGGTAAAACATATTGTTAAAAAAAGCTTTTGACAGAGTATGTTATATACTTTAGTCTGCTTCAATGATTTCTGTCACTTTTTATACTACACATGTTGCCGTGCAAGAAAAGTTAAACGTCTAGACATTTTCATCATATTTCTGTAAGAAACAGAAATTTAAATATTTGAAGTAATAATGGGAGCATTTACTGTTGCTTTGGCTGCAGAGCTGACATAAAACTCCCTAACTGCCTGAGTGCTGAGTAGATTTTAAGGGATAATGTATCAGTTCCTTTCAGTGTTTGTACGTGGCTTTCATTAATGTCAATAGCAGTTACAGGCACTTTTTTTTTTTTCTTTTTTCTTTTTCCCAAGCACAGTACTGCTCCCAAACTTGTTTATTCTCCAACAGTAGTTCCTAGAGATTAATCAGAGCATCTGAGTGCATCCTGTGCAGCACAGTGTGAAGGGCTGGGGTGTGGGGCTGTGTCAGTCAGAAACACTTGCTGTGCTGGGTAGAGTTTTTCTTGGCTGTGGACAGCTGGATTCTCCGAAATTGGGGTCTGAAAGTGCTGTCCACAGCAACAGCCTTGCAAAATCAATAAAAGCAGGAGGAACTGCACTACATTTATCACATACCTTTGTATGGAAGTCCCAGTCTGATAGATGCTCGTTCCTTTACGCTTTTATGGATGTTCATTGGGTGATAAGATTAGATAGACTGACAGGCTGATAGGTAGGCAGATAATCCTCTAGCCTCCTTGTCTAGGGTTTTGTAGATTTTGTTAGCAGCAGCCATTCCCGCAACAGCCAGAAGAGGGGAATTCAGCCAGCAGCAATCCTTCCTTTCCTTGTGTGCCCCAGATGTAATTTTTTTCTTGGCTGTTATGAGTCATTTCTCTTTACAAAGGTAGTTTGGATGATACGCTTCTGCTCACGTTATAAACTCTTCTATTTTGAAGCTCAAACTTTGATTGCAATACCCCAATGGGCTGCCAGCTTCAGACTCATGCTGCAGTGGGGAGGCTAGGGTGCTTGGGGCATTTCACAGGCTCCGAGGGGAGCTGTGTTTGGGTTCAGAACTTGCAGGAAGTTCAGTGCCTTTGGGTGCAGGAGGGGTAAAATTCATAAACAAGCAAACAGACAAATAAGCCATCTAACAAAAAATTAATTGTAGATTTTTCAAAGTGGAGAGTTGTTTTTTAGGAAACCTCACACTTCTTTTAAAAACAACAAACACCAGATCACAATTGTCAAGTAGACATGTACTTATAAAGTTATTGGAATGTTGAAGAGGCATTGAAAAAGGATTGGGGGAGAGAAAGTGCATTTTAAAGATAGCATATAATTTATATTGTGCCCAGGACTGGAATTTTCTAGCTAGCAAAATTATGACTGTAGCACAGACTTGTCCACACCTGTCCTTTATGTAAAGCTGAATCAAGGTTAAAGGAATGCTTTCCACCTTTATGCAGTGTTCAAAGAGCCTAGAAAGGCAAACAGAACAATGTTTTTGGCCCCAGTGAGCATTTCTACATTGGAGAACAGGCTTAGGCTCAGAAATTCTTGGGACCCAGTTCAAGCACGGCCCGACATTTGTTACTGTTAATTGCAGCTCTGCTGTCAGCTTTGATTACTGGATGTTTCATTTGAGTGGCTTCTTGGTGTTTTGGCAAAGAGAATGTCAAAGTGGTTTATGCAAGGATACGTTTTCCAAGCTCCTGTTGACTCAAATAGAGCTTGAGCAGCTAATACCTACATACTATTTTAAAAATGGAAGCTCTGGCATGACTGAAGCATGTATATATTAAATTCAGCAGGATCTCAGTGGACTGCTGCCCCGAGTATATAAAATACAAAACAAAAGAGTGGAAATGATACTGAAGCTCCTGCAGGTGCCCCATAAAATCTACCATACTGCACTTTCTTTGATTTTCATACATAGCCATAAATCCCTTGAAACAAATTTCTTTTTTGTGGAATAAACACATGAAAGGATTTGGATCCTCATGCGTCATAAAAGGTTTTATTTGCAAGTTGGAGGGTATAAGCGTATACAGCACCAATGTGTATGTGTGATATTTGTCATACATGTTAACTGAATAAGTGTGGTGAGTAAATGTTCTGTTCAACAATTTATATCAGTCAATACATTGCAATTAAGTCCTTCTTTCAGAAATGCCAAGGAGGAAATGTGTTAGCAAAATAAAGCGCATGCCAACTGTATTTGAATGTTCTCCACTGTATTATTTTTTGAGTGTTCTTTCTGTTTTTCTTTTATAGGTAAAGATGAGCCTTCAAGCTATATTTGCACAACATGCAAGCAGCCTTTTAATAGCGCTTGGTTCTTGCTTCAGCATGCCCAGAACACACATGGATTCCGCATCTACCTGGAAACAAGCCCTTCCAACAGTTCCCTTACTCCACGCATCACCATCCCTCCTCCTCTGGGACCAGAGACTGTTGCACAGTCCCCGCTGATGAATTTCCTTGGAGACAACAACCCTTTTAATCTTCTGCGGATGACAGGACCCATCTTGCGTGAACATCCTGGCTTTGGTGAGGGTCGGCTCCCAAACACGCCTCCGCTATTCAGCCCACCACCTCGTCATCATCTGGATCCACATCGCCTTAGTGCCGAAGAAATGGGGTTAGTTGCCCAGCATCCCAGTGCCTTTGACAGAGTTATGCGTTTAAACCCCATGGCAATTGAGTCCCCAGCGATGGATTTCTCCAGAAGGCTTCGAGAGTTGGCAGGAAACAGTTCCACCCCTCCGCCAGTCTCGCCCAGTCGCACCAACCCTATGCATCGCCTGTTGAATCCTTTCCAGCCAAGTCCTAAATCACCTTTTTTGAGCACCCCACCACTGCCCCCCATGCCCCCAAGCAGCACTACGCCTCCCCAGCCTCAGGCCAAGAGTAAGTCCTGTGAATTCTGTGGGAAAACCTTCAAGTTCCAGAGCAACCTTATCGTCCACCGGCGTAGTCACACAGGAGAAAAGCCCTACAAATGTCAGCTATGTGACCATGCTTGCTCCCAAGCCAGCAAGCTAAAGCGTCACATGAAAACGCATATGCATAAAGCTGGCTCCATGACAGGCAGGTCAGATGATGGACTGTCCACCACGAGTTCTCCTGAGCCAGGCACGAGTGAGCTCACTGGAGAGGGACTGAAATCCAGTGAGACAGACTTCAGGAATGAGAGCGATCCCTCCCTCGGCCATGACAATGAAGAAGAGGAAGAGGAGGAGGAGGAGGAAGAGGAGCTGGAAAATGAGAGCAGGCCAGAGTCAAGCTTCAGTATGGACTCAGAGCTGAGTCGTAACCGAGAAAATGGTTCCAAATCACTGCCAGATGAGAAATCCCTTGTCCTGGGAAAAGTGATAGAGAATGTAAGTCTCGGTGCCATCCAGCAATACAACGACATGCTAGCTGAGAAACAGAAGAGGAGTAGCTTCATGAAAAGGTCTTCTGACCAGCGAGACCTGTGTCCACGAGACCTCTGTCCAAGAGACACAGGTGATGAAGACTCGGTGGTAGGAGAGCTGGACCGCACCGAGGAGGGGACGGTCAACGGAAGAAACTTTGGCCCAGGTGAGCCCTTCCCAAACTTGTTCCCTCGAAAGCCAACACCTATCACAAGCCCCAGCTTAAACAACTCATCTAAACGAATAAAAGTTGAGAAAGATTTGGACTTGCCACCAGCAACAATAATACCTTCCGAAAACGTTTACTCCCAGTGGCTGGTAGGGTACGCAGCATCGAGGCACTTCATGAAGGATCCGTTTCTAGGATTCACAGACTCCCGACAATCTCCCTTCGCCACCTCTTCCGAGCACTCATCTGAGAATGGGAGCCTGCGTTTCTCCACCCCGCCGGGGGACATGCTGGACGGGGGGCTCTCAGGGCGCAGTGGCACGGCCTCCGGAGGCAGCACCCCTCACATCAGCGGCCCAGGTCCTGGGCGACCCAGTTCGAAGGAAGGGCGCAGGAGCGATACATGTGAGTACTGTGGCAAGGTCTTTAAGAACTGCAGCAATTTGACGGTGCACCGTCGGAGCCACACTGGAGAGCGGCCTTACAAATGCGAGCTCTGCAACTATGCATGTGCCCAGAGCAGTAAGCTGACGCGTCACATGAAAACGCATGGCCAGATAGGGAAGGAGGTCTACCGCTGCGACATTTGCCAGATGCCCTTCAGTGTTTACAGCACCCTGGAGAAACACATGAAAAAGTGGCATGGAGAACATTTGCTGACAAATGACGTCAAAATTGAGCAGGCAGAAAGAAGCTAAGGCCCCCCTCCCCTCCCCCGCTAGGTTAAATTTCAGGGGTCTAGGTAACATTTTATTTGTACAGTTTTAACTATTGCCAACTGAGAAAAGATGACCTAACTTGCCTCCGTAAACATTACTTAGCATAACTATGGTAGGTGCCAGACTTTGGCACTTAAATATAACCTGTGTCTACAAAGTTCTATTAAACCCGAGGGTTGATTAAGGCAGTAAAAATTGTGGAGCCTTTTAACTGTGCAATAATTTCTGTATTTATTGGGTTTTTGTAATTTTTTGGCATGTGCAGGTACTTTTTTTTATTCTTTCTGTTTAAATTTCTTTTAAATTTTGTTGGGTATCCCTTTTTAATTTTACCCAGTCGTAGCCTGAGATTACTTGCATTGTAGGGGAGAAACATATCTTTTTAAATTATAATTTTTGGGCCACTGCTTTGTTGAAATTTAAGCTAAGCATGTGTAATTTCTTGTGAAGAAGCCAGCATTTTAACAGATCTTTCTTTCTTTCACCCATCCTCCCCCTTTTTTTTTCCTTTCCTCTTTTTAAATAACCCTGAAGATTAGGGAAAACAAAATTGTACAGCGGATAACAATCTTTAAAATTAGCACTTTCTTTTGGAATTGGATGGAATATGTAGCACTGACAATGTCACTAATGATAGAGGCCTTTCTAGATGGATTTCAACATTAAAGTCACGTCAACTAAAAAGTCATAGGTGCAAAAGGCAGCTACATTCAAAAAACAGTTAACATTCTTAATTGTGCACTATTACTGGATAGTTTCTTCCTGCTATTAAAGCTATGGCAACAGAATGATGCCACATTGTCACTTTTGGGGGTTTTTCCCTCCCTCTTCCCCTCCTGCCACTCTTTCCAGAGACAGTAAAAGTACATCTCAAGTATTGTAATATTCTTTACAAACATCAGAGGAGCCAAATTTTTCATTTTAAACCTCATTAACAAAAAACTGAGTCTAGGATGTCTGTACGTGCCTCTCCTTTAGTCCAAATTTGCTGTAGTTAAAAGAATTACTAGAGGATGGGCAAGTGGCAATTTCTCAATGAAAAGACTTGACTCATAGTCTTTTGGTTTATGGATGGAAATATCAAAACTATCTTATATGATGTACAATGGTGTTATGCTATTATAAGGAAGGAAAAAATAAATTCTAGTCTATCTACTTATCTTGGCAAGATTCTGCTCCTACTGAAGTCGGTAGGAATTTTCCCATTGACTTAATTAAGAACAGAAGTTAATTGTATTTTGAGAAAAGCATTACAACAGAAAAAAGCAAAGAACAGAAAAATGCACCTGCTCTACTTTCAAATTTCCAATTTTTTCAAAGCTCATTATGCCTAATATTAGCAAACAGTGGACAATTATGGTTAGAGATTTTAATTATGTTGACCCGCACTTTAAAGCTTTTGTTTGTGGTTAAGACAAAAATGGCTTCTCAACAAGAAATTACATCATATTCTTCTATTTGGCCCAAAGGTGGGTTAAACTGTAAGGGAACAGCTGAGATTAAGTGTCAGTGTTGCTAAGCATGGCATTCACAATACTGGCACTATAAAGAAAAATAAATAAAAATAATTTATTGGACAGTTTTTCTACTGCCATTCAATTTGACGTGAGTGCCTTGAAAACTGATCTTCCTATTTGAGTCTCTTGAGACAAATGCAAAATGTTTTTGTGAAATGAAAAGACTTTTAAAAAAAAAAAAGTAAAACAAGAAAAGTACATTCTTTAGAAAAAAAGAGCCACATTTACTTAAAAAAAAAAAAATAAAAAAATTACTGGTTGAAGATAGTGGACATGAAAATGCCATAAGACCCAATCAAATGAAGATGTATACCCAGCACAACTTCGGACATCCATTAGCTGAATTATTCTCAGCTTTTTTTTTTTTTTCAGGACAACGCTGCTTAGGAAATGGAATGGAAATGATTTACTGCTGAATTAAAACTCAAATGACACAAATTACAAGTTGTTATCATTGAATGAGAAAAAACAATTCAGGAACAACGGCTAATTTTTTTTAAAGTTAAATTTAGTGCACTCTGTCTTAAAATACGTTTACAGTATTGAATACATACAAGGGTAAAAAAGAAATTGTGTGTATGTGTGTTTGAGCAATCTTTTTTTTTTTCAAAGTTTGCTTAATAGGTTATTAAAAAAAAATGCCATAATGGCCATGTGTATATTGTTTTCTTTTGGTGACGGGGTTTTAGTATATATTATATATATTAAAATTTCTTGATTACTGTAAAAGTGGACCAGTATTTGTAATAATGGAGAATGCCTGGGCATTTTACAAAACCAGAAAGAAAAAAAAAAAAAAAAAAAAACCTTTTCTTTTTTCCTTGAAAATGTTGCAGTAAAATTTAAATGGTGGGTCTATAAATTTGTTCTTGTCACTGTAACTGTAAAGTCTTGAGTTTTAGTAAATTTTTTTCTGCCTTGGGTGTTGAATTTTTATTTCCAAAATGTATAGAATCTTGTATTCGGGGATTAAAAGGTGATTGCTACACCAAGTAGAAAAAGTATGTAGAAAAAAGTGCTTAATATTGTTATTGCTTTGCAGAAAAAAAAAAATCACGTTTCTGACCTGTACCTATTTTTCTCTTTTTTTCTTCCCCCATCCCCATTCCCTTCCCCTTCTGGAATGGATATTGATATTGGTTGATTCATATGATGTAGGCACTTGCTGTATTTTTACTGAAGCTTGTAATTTTTTAACTGTACGCTTGTCCTTTTAAAGGGATTTAATGTACTTTTTTGTTAGTGAATTTGGAAATAAAAATAAAAACAAACAAACAGGCTGCCATAATATATTTTTTTAATTTGGCAGGATAAAATATTTCAAAAATAATAAAAAAAAATTTGTACGTGAAGTCCTTATTGTACAAGAAAAAAAAAAAAAGGGGGTTGTTAGACGACCTTTGAGTAAAAGAAACAAAACAGAATAATTAAGTACTTTTTTTTAATTTTTTTTTTTGTTCGTTGTCGTTGTTCAGAAATAATTTTAGTTGTACATATATATATATATTTTTTGTCAGAAATGGCCTACAAAAAAGTGCTGTTCCCACAGGGCTCTAAATATCTTCAAAGTTGCCTGGCCCCCTTGCATCAAGGTTTTACCAGGTATGGTTGAACCAGGCTTGATGGTTATTACCTATTTGTGAGAAGTGAAATTCAGTTTCCGTAAAGGTGTCTGAGGTGACATCCCGCAGCTTCCCCACAGGTTCGAGAGAGAGAGAGAGATTTTTTTTCCCCCCCTTCCAAACAAGAAGATGTCCAACACATCTTCCCTCTCCCGGGCACCCCACTCACTGCTCCCTGCCCGACCGCCCTCTGGAAGAAAGGCATTTTATAGCAAAAAGCGTGGCGCATCGCTTTGACACAGGTAAAATGATCTGCTGTCGGTACAGTTGTAACTGGGTTGACGTAAAATTGGTCCAGGCACAGCCCTTCTCTTCCCTGTCAGAACAGGACCTACTCCGTGTACAGGTCTTGCCAATCCATGTTATTAGCTGCTTTGCTGCTGTTCACTCCGAATTGTACATTCCATAAATTTCTGAATGTTTGAGGGACTGGGATGAAATTCTGTGCCTTTTGATATCTCTTTGCTGTTCTTTCTCTCTCTCTCTCACGCTCTCTCCCCGTTGGGTCAAAGGGAAGACAGGTAACAGAAGAGGCACTGATGCCTAGTGAAGGGGAGAAGGAGAAAGTGTTCACCACCCTTGGAGGAAATGACGGTAAAAATAAAGCAAACAAAACAAATTTCCATGCCAAATTCTTCTGCAGCTTTCATCGGTGCAGAACGGCTGGAGCAATTGGAGAGGCATGGGTGTGACAGCAGGGAGAATTTGGTCCAGCTACCAGATATGTCTTCCTGGCTTGAGCAACGTACCCTCAAGACTTCTGGACAAATTTTGGATCTCAAGCTGATAAAAATCAGGAATTATTCATCACTCTTACTGCTGGATTACACCAGCGCAGCTGAGGCTGGAATCTGATCCCTTAAAGGCACATTTTCACTTTTTGGTGAAAATTCAGATCTCTGACATTTGTACAAAACCAGAGACATGTTGCAGAGCTCAGCAGAATCCCCTGGACGTGCATCAATGTAATGCAGATCAGCAGTTAACAGTCCATAATTCAATGGTTTTCAGTCCATGGTTCTTTGCTTTAAGAAAGAATTCACCTTTCATTATAGTGTAAGCTGCTAAGGAGCTCCGGTCTCTATTTTATTTTATCCAGGATAGCCAACACCAGCAGTTGTCTAGTCTTGTGACTTAGATCACTGAAACTAACAGTAAATCACCCCAAAAGCACAAGGGTTGTGTTTCTGCAGACTGTAGTGATAATGAAATGGCTCTCCTTTTCTTCTTGCTTAGGAGAACTGTAGTTTACTAGGCCATAAGCACAATATAGCATAGAGGTAAAATAGCTAGAATGCTGCCGTAGTTCTCTTTTCTCACAATTTAACTAGATTTTATTATTATTATTTTAAGGTGGAATTTATTACTTTCATTGTGTCTAGTCCTGATGCCTTTGAAGTCTGGAACAAATCTCCACGTGACTCCCTTGGCAACAGGACAGGCTTGAGAACCTGGTTTGAGGAAGAAAAATACTGATTTTTTAAGGAAAGGGTCAAAAAATCAGCATTTCATCCCAGTCCTATGTAAAAGACAGTCCAAGGTTTTGTTTATCACAGGCAAACTCATTTTTATGGTGCTCTTTGTATTTTAGAACTGCAAAGCAAAGTAACATTGGTTTAAGTTGTTTGCATTTGTACCGGCAAGGCAAAATATTTTTATTACCTTTTTCTATTACTTATTGTATGAGCTTTTGTTGTTTACTTGGAGGTTTTGTCTTTTACTACAAGTTTGGAACTATTTATTATTGCTTGGTATTTGTGCTCTGTTTAAAAAACAAGAGCACTTTTTTTTTTTTTTTATTATGGATAAAATGTTGAGATGGCTGGAGGTCATTTCAATATGGCTTAGTGAAATATTTATTGTTCCTTTTATTCTCTGTACAAGATTTTTGGCCTCTTTTTTTTTTTTTTTTTTTTTTTTTTTCCCTTACTGTCACAATGTTGAGTTCAGCATGTGTCTACCATTTCATTTGTACG